TATTGTTTTAGAGTTTTCGTTTTAATATATTAAATAATATTATTTTAAACATTTTTATCTTTATATATTTGCTCCCTTAAGTTATAATTCAATAAGTGGTTAGCATTTATTTAAGTCTGAAATATTTACTGGTTGTGATTTCTCAATGTCTATGCCATTGTGGATGTATGTTTGTGTATATATCGGTGTCTATGTGTATGTAGAGTGTATTCACATTTAACTGTGTGTGTGTATAAGTGTTAGTTTCACGTCTTTTTTTTCGTAAAGGGCTGTGGAGTTGTTCATGTATTCCCCCACTTCTTTTTTTTTTTTTTTTTTTTTTTTTTTTTTTATTGTATGTGTGTGTGTGTGTGTGTGTGTGTGTGTGTGTGTGTGTGTGTGTGTGTGTGTGTGTATCTAATTATGTCTGGATGCGTATGTATTATAATCTGATTGTGTTTTTGTTGTGTCACGCGTGAGTTTAAGACCATATTCACAAACTTTAAAATAAAACGGAAAAGAAAAAAATATATACATGTATTATCAGATGACCGGACGAATTGTAGCTTTTTGTCTTGTCAGACGTAATTTTAATGAAGAAATGAATTGAATAAACATATATTTTTTTCTTTTCTCAATAATTTTGTAGTTTTTAAACTTAATAGTGATTAAATTTGGATTTTAAAAATTGCCAGTTTTTAATTTTAATATTAAATTTTATCATATAAATTTATAATTATTAGTTAGTAAAAATTATTTTTAATATTACACGTATTTAAAGATCTAAATAGCTATAATAGCAGGATTTTGTTGTCAAGCTTTTGAATCTTTCTGTACTTCGGTTTTGATTGGTTATTCTAGCTTTTGTAACAATGCTCCCCTAGTGTAGGATCGTTAATTAATCTGAAACTTTTAAAACCATTTATTTTCTTTTCAACACCATCACTTGATAAGACACAGAGTGTGTTGAAACAAAATGGCTATTTTGTAGTGATTTTATAACACACTTATGTTATAAATTTTTTTATAAAATAATTATATATATATATATATATATATATATTATGAAATGTACAAAGTCCGACAATTATTCTTAAGACATTTTTTACTGAAATATTTGTATCTATAAAACGAACGTATACACATAAAAAATGCCTAAAAATATATATATATATATATATATATATATATATATATATATATGATGCCATTTCTGACCTCAGGTCTCTGTTTGAAATGTGGAAATATAGTTTAATCCAAATGTTTTATACATTTTAAATACTAATCCCATAAAATTATAACTCTTTTACTAAACCTGCACGCGTAACCAACCCAACTCAATTCTATACTAGCACTTAGGTTCCTCCAAAAATTGGTAGCGTTTCTAAAAGAAGAAATATTCGCTATTCTTACTATCAGACAAATCTTTTAGTCTACATTTACTTTATACTCTTAATCAAGCGAAAATCCACAAAATTCCTATACATATATATACACCCACGCATCTACATATAAATGTAGGTAAAGTATATCATACGCGCATGATATATATATATATATATATATATATATATATATATATATATATATATATATATGATGAAATATAGTTTTAAGGTATGCTACATGTTGAGTTAAATTATACTATGTCGGGGATTGAGCGTATGTAAATATATAAATATAAAAGTTGTCATTGAAGTAAACATCCAGAAGCGACAGTCTGTTTCACACCTGGCTGTTGACTTCAATGTCCACACACACACACACACACAAAGACACACAAACACACATACACACACACACATATATATATACTTACATATATAACGTTGAAAACTTTGTTTAACCCCCTATAGAAAGAAACATTCTTGTCTTCATTTAATTTTCCATTTAATAGAATTTCATGACTACCAGCATGTCTAACGCAATTTATGAAGTGAAAAAATAATCCATAAAAATATTCTCATGTAAGAAATGCTAGCGGAAATAATATTTATGTAATCACGGTCTTTACAAAGGAAGAATGGCGCTGCTAAGCAAATGATCCTAGCGCTTTTATCAAAGATCACTTTGCGAATAAATTGGCGTATAATACCGAAAAATCTGACTTGATTTGTAAGTTTGTAGATTTTCTTTTCTGTTCTTTTTGTATAATAAAACATCGGCCATTTTTTTTTTTTTTTTTGGAGGAGGCGTTTATGATTAAATGGATCATGTGATATTTCGGGTCACATTATGTAGTTTTTTTTTAATAAAAGCATAAATAATATTTTATACAAATATTTCATACAAACAATGTAAAGGTTTTATCGCCTGTAATTTCTGAGACACTTAAAACAGTTATAAAAGTACTTTTTTTTTTACTTTATGAGGGAAAAGCTGATATTTTTTTGGCGGGAGTTGTCTGTTTGCATTTAATGCTGGGTTGTTTTTGTTTTTGTTTATTTCACTCAACAAAAGGAATTTTGTAACACGAAATATATATTTCCGTCGGACATCACGTGATTCCTGTAGATTCCTTATTTGATAAATTCATGTTTTCGATCCAGCAGATGCACAACTGCTACAGCTGCGTTTCCGTATTTCATACGCAAAAATATAACTTTTCGCGGTATAATAATATATTTTAGATACCGCGATATAAGAGTTTTCATTCTCGAAATTAACGACAGGTCTCTAGGATTAAGTCTGATATCGGATTTTGTTGCCATTCCTTGTGAATTCTCTTGCGAATTCTCTTGTGAATTCTCTTCTAAAATTCTAGACGATCATGGATTTACACGAAAAATTACAACATAAATCAACCATTTCTTGTTCCAACGACAGTAGCTCTCTAATTTTTTTGTGGGGAGGAGGCGTTTATGATTAAATGGTGGAACAATTCTCTTAAACACGGAAGTTTACATAAAAAAATAATTTCTTTTAATTTCTTTACTATTCATCATAATTTATTGAGATTCGTTGAATACATCAAACAGTGTGGTACTTTTGGGTATCTGGATATCCCCCCACCATATATATCATTATTACTCCCGACGTCATACTCCTACCACTTACTTATCAAGCAACGCAACGTATATAAACAGTGTATATCGTGTGTAACAGCAAAATTGTCCATTCAATAGATTAATCTTTGAACCATTGTATCTTAGAAATGATTAAAGATATCATACTGGAATTCTCCGAGATTTTTATAACACTATTGGACTCTAATTTGGGCAATAAGAATGTATAATTACTCTCCAAGCTTAACAGAAGGATTGTGATGAAATCGATCATTAACAAAAATGACATGTTCATCATTAATTAATCATAGCTAAGGATCGGAAGCTCATGAAGGATTGAAATGAAGTTAATATATATATATATATATATATATATATATATATATATATATATATCCAGAATCATTTTCCAACCTATTTAAGATGATCTTTGCCTTCTCTAACCTTCTAAACTTCTGTCCTGGTGTAGCAAGTTGCCTCCCACGTTTAACGTACCATTTCATTCTCAAGTCTTTTTTCACTGCTAACTCCTCTCTCACGTGCCAAATGTCTTATGAGCTGAGTTGGATCTTTTGTAAATAATTCTAAGTTGAAATGATGATCCCTCTTCCTTCAGTGACCTCCTCATCCAGTTTTTCAACTCTTCCCTCTTTTTAAATAAACTTTGAAGATGGAAGCCACAGTATGAATGTTGGTAACATGACTGAATGATCTTTTACCTCTGACTAATGCTCATTTGGGAAGACATTGGCACTGACACAAAGCGATTTTATCCTGTTCTCTTTCTAGCTGAATAATTCAAAGGATTTTTCAATGATTCTTACGACAAATGGTGCAAAGATGGTTTAAAGTCTCATCTGAAAACCCGGAAAAAAGTAACTCAATTAGTTTAGTGTTTTTATTTTTGTTTTTTGTTTGTTTTGTTTTTTTAGATATTAAACAATTTAATACAATTTTCATGTTACACCCGGGCATTTTGGAACACAACAAAAAGGTAGTAAGTTATAGTCTGCTCATCGCTGTGAAACTGCCAGTCTCTCTCTCTCTCTCTCTCTCTCTCTCTCTGTGTGTGTGTGTATGTGTGTGTGAATCAGATAAAGGGAATCTTTTTTCATGGAACATTTCAGATGGATCAAGGCCTCAAATATGGAGTTCCTAGTATGGACTGAATTCACTCCAATAATACTAATCTGTTAGTTATCAATCAGTGTTTCACTGCAAGATGTTCTAGCCTTCTTCCCTGTGCATTGAAGTAACAAATATCTAACATCATAAAGAAGAATTGTGATGAAATCGATCATAAACAAAAATGACATGAAAGATTGAAATATATATATATATATATATATATATATATATATATATATATATATATATATATTAATCCAGAATCATTTTCCAAATTATTCAAGAAGATATTCGCCCTCTCTAACCTTCTACATTTCTCTACTGGAGTAAAAATCTGCCTCAAACCTCACACATTTAACGTAAGATTTCATTTTTTTTAGTTTTTTCACTGCTGACTTCTCTTTCACGTGCCAAATGTCTTATGAATTGAGTTTATAATTGATCTCTCAGATGAAAAGATGATCCCTCTTCCTGCCGTAACCTTCTGATCCAGTGTTTCTCCCTACTGTTCCCTCTTTTTAAACTTATTCACCGTTGCCTTAATGGTTCTTAAATGGACTTTGAGGATGGAAGCCAGAGTATGAATGTTGGTACCATTACAGAAGGACTGCATGATCTTTTTCCTCTCACCAATGCACATTTGAGAAGACAATCGGGCTGACACAAAAAGATTTTATCCTGTTCTCTTTCTAGCTGAATAATTCAAAGGATTTTTCAGTGATTGTTAAGACAAATGGTGTCAAGATGGCTAACGTCTTATCTGAAAACCTGTAAAAAAGAAATTCTTTTGGTTACATAACTTTGGTCGTGACGATTACTAAAAGATGTTATGTAGCTAAAAGATGTAACCAAAAGATGTGAATGTTTTGAGATTCTGGTTCAAATCTGATGAGGCCTTTTTTAAAAAACTCTGTAATAGATCTATCAAAGGATCAATTTTTTCTTTCATTCAGGTTTTTGATTTTGTTTCAACAATAAAATTATTTCGAATTTTAAATACATCTTAACCTCTTACATCCGAAAATGATAATGTTACATGGGAAGGTATTTAGTCATTACAGAGTATTGTAGTTAACTTGTTTGTCAAAAACCGGAGAGTTTAAAGACTTCATCCGTGGACATTGGACATTAAAATAAAACGTGTCAGTTTACAAGTCAAGGTACGGCCGGCAGAGCAGCAAAAAGAGATCAAAAATAAGAAATAAGAAATAAATGTTTAAAAAGAAAGAAAGAAAGAAAGAAAGAAAGAAAGAAAGGAAGAAAGAAAGAAAGAAAGAAAGAAAGAAGGAAAGTCGACCGAGAGAAGGAAAGCGATGAAATTAAAGACGAAAGAAAGAAATTCAGTCGATAGGAAAACAAAAATTTCCGTGATGTGTTTTACAAGAGCATCACGCCGAATCCGCCCCGGACCTTCCCCGGAGACTTGCAATCTCTTTTAGGCAGACTTTGTGCTGCCAACAAATCCGGTGTCGGGTAAAATGAGTAAAAAAGTAAATTTTAAAAAAATAATAATAAAAATGCGAAAAAATATGAATATCTTTTAAAAAGTCAAAATTCTTAAAAATGTTAAAAGAATAAAAATTTATAAAAGAGAAAAAAATATATTCAGATAAACAGACTTGTCGACGTCTGTGAAACCAATTGTTACATTTTGCGTTGATCTCAACCAGTGTTTGTCTTTGAGTTTTAGTTTTCAGAAGATTTAAATAGCTTAAGAGAGGTAAACAGTTCCCAAGAAGCCAAATAGCTCGTTTCAACAGCCGGAATAACTTTCGGAAGAGAATTTCTGAGCAACAGATAAATCCCCGGTAGGATACATTATTTACAATATTGTTATCCTCATCTTCATCGTTATATTCACAACGTTTCGGCCGTTGTAAGCACCGGCTTCCATCAGGTGATTGGAATTTCGAACCGAACCCTTTATTCCGTCCACCGGGATAGATTGTTCTAGTTCCACGTGCCATGCCTCTTCCGGATGTCTCAGGTATTTCACTTTAACTCAACTTTCCAAGTTTTTGGCTCACCACTGCTGTGGTTTGGTACTGAACTCAAAACTCTTTGGATCTTGTTATTGAAACTAAACAACGTCTTTATCCACTGGGCCGTGTGTCCTTGTCTAATCACCTGAAGAAGGCTGGAGCGTAAAACGGCCGCAAGTAATCATAATACCTCATCTCAGATATAGACAGATATATAGAGAGACATAGACATAAAGGCCGGAACGTACAACGGCCGAAACGTTGTGAATATGGCAATGAAGATGGGGATAACAGTCCGAATAATGTAAATAATCCAAGTAATCATAATACCGCATTTCAGAGATATAGACAGATATATAGAGAGACATAGACATAAAGGCCGGAGCGTACAATGGCCGAAACGTTATGAATATGACAATGAAGATAAGGATAATAGTCCGAATAATGTAAATAATGCAAGTAATCATAATACCTCATCTCAGAGATATAGACAAATATCCCGGGTAGCAGTTCATATTTTAAAAAAATTCACGACCATCGAAAATTTTCAGTAAATGATAGATTAACAGAGATATTGCATGTATTACATAAAGAATTTTTTGATAAAAAGAAAAAGAAAAGGATTCTGCTTCAGATATCACGACATTACAGCCTTATCACGTTAAGACAGTGGTTCTCTTACGATTAGCGAAGTTAAGTAATGTCATGCCTGGTCAGGATCTAGATAGCTGTTCTGTTGGGAATATCAGGTGGTGTAAGCTTGGATGAGCCGATTGGTTTTATGGATAACGGCTTGGAATTGGAAATCGGAGAGTTGGGTTTTAGATCCAGTCAGGTTCGTTATATTACGTGTAAATTTCCTTGGGAAAAGGTATCAACCAACTTCTCTCCAAAGCCTTGCGTTTAGTAGGAAGACTTGTAACAGTAAATCATTTTCTCCCTAAGATTCAGTCTCTCTCTCTCTCTCTCTCTCTCTCTCTCTCTATATATATATATATATATATATATATATATATATATATATATATATATATATATATATATCAGCCTGTTCTCATCTATCTATCTGTTCGTATCTATTTATGTGTCTCAGTCTGTTCGAATCCATCTATTTGTGTCTGTTTGTATCTATCTTTCTTTCTACCTCAGTCTGTTCATATCTATCTATCTATCTATCTATCTATCTATCTATCTATCTATCTATCTGTCTGTCTGTTCGTATCTTTTTATCTGTCTCTGTTCATATCCATCTATCTCAGTCTCTTCATACCTATCTATCTATCTATCTATCTATCTATCTATCTATCTATCTAACTATCTATCTATCTATCTCAGTATTTTCACATCTATCTATTTATCTATCAAGATTATGTCCTTATCTTGTTGAATCACCAACATTCGTATGATCACCGAAGTTAAGTAACATTGAGCCTGGGTGACCGCTTTTGAATACAAGGTCCTCTAAACTTAGACGTACAGCTGGTATAATGGTTAGCGTTTTCGGATTGGAAATCAGAGAACCGAATTCTAATTCCAATCGGGTTCGTTGCATTTATTCACGATCAAACATCTTTGGTAAAGATGTTAATCCACCTCTTATTTCGAAATCTATGGATTAATTATTAAAACTTGTATCAGTAAGTAATTGTATTTATGTTCTTAAAAGTATCCAATAATCTAAAAAATATTCTCTGGCTTTAAATAGCCTGCAAGAGGTTGATAAGCTGTAAAAAACAAATCAATCAATGAATTCAGATATCAATATTTGGTGAATATGCTTTCCCCCTCCCTTTCCCTCTCCCTCACATTCACACATACAAATACACCCACGCAAAAACACACAGTGATACAGACACACACTGAGACATCATTAATGCAATATCAAACAACTTATTCAACACATGTTGGAACTCAGTAAATATTTTTTGTTCTGTCCATTCTCATAAATATACCATATTATTGTATTAATAGCTATAAATAGGGTTTTATCGTTCCACGCGATATACCACGTTATAGGGCATTTCTGTGATTCATTCGATCTCACTCAAGAACGTACGCCAGGTAATTGAGAATTTTATCATCTTTTCAGTTACTGCATATTATACGCCACGCCAGGGTTACATACCGGTTTTGAATTCAGAGTTAGCCATCTCCTAGATTGGTTGGCAACCAAGGCTATAGTATCCAGTGTGTCGTAATATTTAACTATATTATTGTATTAATAGTTACAGCTACGTTTTCCCGTCCCACGTGATATGCCACATTATCAGAAGATAGAAATCGATTCATATGTTACTCAAGTATATATTCAACGAATTCAACCGGATTCGAACCTGGCCTGTCGATTTTTCTTACCAAACCGCTACTCATTGCACTACCCGCATATTTAATGAAATAATCCGAGATAAAAATGGCGTCAGTGATATTCTCGAGTTTTTTTTTTAGACTTCAATTTCACTTATTAACTACAGCGAATTAAACTAAAACAATTACCGTATCTACTCGCGTACGATACGACATTTGAAGACGTAATTTTGAAGCTAATTTTAAGGGGGTCGCATCATACACGTGGTATAAAATTAACGTATGTACTGCTGGCACTGGCGATGCTGTTGACCAAACTATATATCCATTTAGTGTAGTCAAATAAGATTCAAAATCAGGTCTTCAAAAGTTACATGGCGTATGTAAATTCAGAATCCACACCCCATTTTCCCAGGAACACCGATTTTAGGAAAGACTGCCGATAGCTTTTTAGTCATCCAACCCTATCTTGCAAGAGTTTCATTGATTTTATTATAATGTCTGTCACCTATTTGATTTGTTATCCGTTGTAACAGTTACATGATATTCAATGTTTTGTTTCAGTCAATTATGTGCCAGGCGTGATACACGCATAGGCGATCATGTATCTTTCGACATGACTGACGAGGCAGATTTTTTCCTGCAGTAGGTTGCCATTTCTTTCTTATAATAATAAATGAATAAACAAATGAAGGAAATAAATAATAAACAAATTAACAAACTGTACAAACACAAGCATTACTACAAACAAGTAAATTTAATTCCAATAATCAACAATGAATAATGAACGAATAAATACAAAATACACTAATTAATAACAAATAATGTGTCAAAAGTTAACAAACACTACTATACAATAGCTATACAATAACAACATTCTGAACCATAATTATTACTACACAATAGGCGTATAAATTAATAATTTAAAAGATGACCGTTCCTGCCTATACAATAATCATTAGGATAACACAATAAACCGGAAATACCTGACCTTACTACCCATAATGCCTCATTGGTCAGCATATAAAAGTTGTCGAGCTAACAACCAACACACATTTCTTGAAGATTACGTTCAAGGATAAAACAGACTGTCGCCACACGGTGTTTACTTCAAGGCTATTTCTTAGATCATCAAACCATATAAAAATTATCTATGAGTATTTATTTATATATTTCTTGTGTATTTGTTTATATATTCCTTGTCTCATCTGAAGAGGGAAGGCAGGTATATCAACTTTATGAGTGATTACTTCTCCTTGTTTAAATAATCTTTACAAATGAAATAACAGCATTTAAACAAAATGAACCGTTTGATTAATCAGTTCCTTTCCTCCTACCTTTCTTAGATTGCAGTCTTATTTGTTCAAGTCCTTCATTAGAAGCACTGAGATACTTTTGTCTATGAAGTGATTGTCTTGCTTCGACATGATTTTGAAATAGGCTTTATTGTCACCATCTTTTTCTTCTGTGATATATTTCCATTTAACTGTGATATTAAACATTTGAAATTTTTACCAAGAAAAAATATTGTGCAAAAAGCAATTTATATAATACCGGGGGTAATCAATGAATCATCGACACCATTGAACGTCTAAAAAATATAAAGGAAATGGTTTAATTAAACGATTCATTGGCCTCCATTTTAGTTGTGAATTCTTTATTTCCGTTTTACTGAATGAATCTCTATACATTGTTTCAAGACTTTTGTTTCCTTGCATCTCACTATTAAAACGTTTTAATAATTGTCGTCATTTTTATGGTACAGGTCCACTAGATTTTTCATATATATATATATATATATATATATATATATATATATATATATATATATATATATATATCTCTCTGGGTTTCTGTAGCGTTTACTCTTTGGCCTTTCCTTCTCCTGAGGACTTCCACAAGGCAGTGAAGTTATTTGACCCATCACTGGGGTTTGGTTCATATGGGCATCAGGGCGTGTCCACACGCCGGTCGACCTGCATACCACATGTTAAGGCGGCCAAATCCTCCCCCGTCCCCTGTAGTTTAGCGCGAGTTCGCAAGGTGCACGGTTACCATGTGTCGCCACGAGGGGGCACTAGATAGGGCTTGCTGATGGAGAGGCTATATACTGGCAGGGGAAGACTTACGCACTCAGCTCCCTTTTCGCACTTCTGCTAGCCAGCGACAAGCACTACCACTACAGACTAACACACTAGACGCATTACAACAGCCGTTGAGACACACACACACACACACACACACACATATATATATATATATATATATATATATATATATATATATATATATATAATATCGATTGATAATTATTAGGGATAATTCCAAGGAGGACATCAAAAGAGAGCTCAATGTAAGAACAGAGCAATATAATAATAAGTACAGACGATCCTTAAAAATCCATTCGGTTAGAATTTATTTCATGAATACGCAAAAATATATTCATCACTTCAGACCGACGTTTTCTTAATAATAATAATAATAATAATAATATATATATATATATATATATATATATATATATATATATATATATATATATGAGGCACGGTGGAGTAATGGATAGTTCGAATTCCAGTCGAATCCATTATATTCACTTATTTGCTAATAACCTTGGGAAAGGTGTGAATCCTCCTCTTCTCCCTCCAGCTTTGGGTAAATAGCAGGACAGACTGGGTTCTATAGCCTTGGATGGCAACTGGTCTAGGAGAATGAAAACTCTGAATTCAAAACCTGCGGAGGGTTGTTTGGGGACCTTGTGACACTTAGTGCACCAGGTCTCTGTATTCGGCTCTTTAAAAAGTATGGTTTGTTCTGCACGAAACCTTCACCACTATAATCAAATCTCATGTGCTGTTGTCGGGCTGTCGGTTTCCTAGGAACTGAACTGCTAGACCCTCATACGTCGAATTCGACGGGAGAATCGAGAGTATATATATATATATATATATATATAGTCGCGGCCATAATATAAGGAACGGAAACAACAAAGACATAAATATGTGTATTACTTAAAAAGTAATGCATGATTACCAATGAAATTTTTACCGAATAAAGATTAGGGTGTAATGCATAAATATTATACAAAGTTACAAAAATTTACATAATAGTTTATTTTTTTTAAATAAAGATTAAATGGAACAAAGGAAATAAGCTACTGGACAAAAGTTAAAGAACGATGTTAATAATTTGCGTAAACTTTTAATTTACATTGTTCAAAAATCGATGGAGCTTTTCGACAATAAGTAAAATTCATTTATCATTAGGACTTTATTTTTAAGCAACTTGGCAAATTCTACACGCAAAACGCTCTCTTTTGAAAAAAAAAACTCATTATCGCTAACTATCAAGGAAAAATGTCAATTTCAGAAATTTCTGATATTGTTCAGAGGTCTAAAATGTCGTTCATCATGTAATTAGCAGGTATAAAACCGATAAAACGTTAGATGCAAAACCAAAAAACGGCAGACCTCTAAAAACATCGCAAAGAGAAGATCGAAGAATTGTTAGAATATCTACAAAAAACCGTTTTGAAACTGCTACATCAATTGCCCGTAAATTTAATGAAGAGACAGATAATAAGATCTCAATGAAAACGATTGCTCGCAGGTTAAAAAATGCAGGATTGCATGCCCGTATTCCAGCTTCGAAGCCTCTCATTTCAAAGCGAAACCAAAGGGCACGCCTGGAGTACGCACAATGGGATACAGTTCATTTCAGTGATGAGTCCAAGTTTACTATATTTGGTTCTGAGGGCAAAACCTACGTACGCCGTAGAACAGGTGAAAGACTGTCTTCTCAATGTGTCAAGAAAACCGTTAAGTTTGGTGGCGGCAGTGTGATGTGTGGGGAATGATTTCATCTGCAGGAGTTGCCCCTATCATCCGCGTACATGGCAATATCAATGCTGAGATTTACAAAAGGCTTCTTCAGCAGCATGTGGTACCAAGATTACACCATAATCTTTATGAATCTTCTATTTTCATGCAGGACATTGCACCTTGCCACAAGGCTCAGAAGGTTATGGCTGTATTTGAAGAAGGAATCGCCCTCATGAAGTTATAAAGTAAATTCAGGTTTGTATTTCCAGTAGACAGTATATTTGCTTACATACTGTCTACTGGAAATACAAACCTGAATTTACTTTATAACATGGAAGACTTCAAGCTTGTACGAAAATATAAGAATCTATTGATCAAGTAAGGAAAGGATTTATTATCGAACTGTTTTAAAATTGTTCCATCGTTCTGATATTTTGAAATCATTTTTGATTTGCTTGTAACGTGGAGGACTTTAAGCTTGTATGAAGATATAAGAACCTATTGATCTCTGCGTATTCCTATATCAACGGAAGGGATTTCTTGAACTGTTTATATAAAATAATTCAATCGGCTTTTTTAATATTTTAATATTTGGAAATCATCTTCGAATACGTTTTCACAACATCGCCCACGTGACGATGACGTGATCATATTTAAACGGAACGCTGATCTTATATAAAAATTTCAGTTATCTGTTTGTATTAGTTGGGCTCTTATGTCCATCGTCTTTTCATGTTGAATTTTATATGTTCTAATGTTAATTATGTTTAATGAAAATGTCCTGAAGATGGTCTAAAATAGACTGAAACGTCTGACGTTGACTTTATATTAACATTAATACAGCATATTTGCATATTAAGATTTTTGTTTGTTTTTTCTGTATATTTTTATTATATATATATATATATATATATATATATATATATATATAGTATGACAAATTGAAAAAATGTTTTTGTGACTTCATCCGTTAGGATTTCATCGAACTGGGCTTTGTTGATATTGCAACGTTTGCACATTAAGACAGCATCATCACTATATGGGAAGTTGATGATGTTCTGTTAATATATCTTCCTTATACTAACTTACTGGATCCTGTAGATAACCTAAACTGGAACACACGATAGAATTCACATATGAAATAGAAAAAAATTTAAGAGCATTCAGAATTTGCAGCCCTCAATATTTACAAGAAGAAGAGAAATATATTCAAATTATATTCAAGATGCTTCAATACCCGATTTCATTTTCAATGCGAAACAAAACGTTAATAAAATATTCCAAAGTAGAAAAGCTGTCCTTCCTGACAAAACCCAAAGAATCAAAAAATATATTATTATACTAACAACTACACCCGAAAAAAATTATCTAAAGTAAACATAAAATTTGTCCTATCTAAAACAATCAACGTCTCAAAAAGAAAAAAAAATAAACAACCAGCCAAACATTGGAGGAGGAATTTACTCTATCAACTACAGGAATTGCCAGAAAGAATCCACTGGACAAACCTCACGAAGTTTCAACAAAAGTCTATATGAACACAAAAGGGACATGAAAAAGAAAAAAGACACATAAAACGCGTTGGTTGTTCACCGTAACGAAACTGACCACAATTTTGTGATAGAGAAAATGCTACTTTGCATAAAAGAGAAAATAATCCGCTGAAACGAAAATGTCTGTAAAATGCCTTGATTGCTAGTTCAACTACGGTAAATTTGCAGCCAGGCTCTTACAATATATCACCACTCTTGGCAGATTCGATGTCACAATATGCGATAGTCAGGGACAAAAGTGATGAAGAGAAAAAGAAAAAGAATATATATGAATTTGGCTAGATGGAAAAGATATTCTTTCAAAAATATTCAAACTACCAATGTCTTTGGCTTTTTTTCGTGCGCATGTGTAGACGTGGAAACATCAACAAAGCCCAGTCCGATGGAATCCTAATGGATGAAATGCGTCAGAAAACCTTTTTTTCTAATTTGTCATACACATTTTATAAATACTGTTTGTTGATATATAAACTTATACAAAATTATATATCGTTATATCACACATCAACACAGAAACACACACACACACACACACATATATATATATATATATATATATATATATATATATATATACTTTATTTTAGGATATTGTATCGAAAAAAACATATCAAAATCGCTACACATTTTCAAGCGTTTGTAAATTACTGGCGACTGAACGATTTATTCAGATTTAAAGGCAAAATACAGCCTATTTTTTCTTTTATGTAAGAAACTCACAAAGCATATAACTTATCTAGCATTTTGTTAGCTTAGCACTTCAATTTTCTTAGGAAAATTGTCTAATGTACAATATGCATCCATTTACATCCTGTTTAACCTCTATTGCGACCATTGATTTCAAATCTACGGGTCATGACGCATTTATGGAAAATAATTTCTTAATTTTTGCTTCTTCCTTTTAAATTTCACCTAGGGTCATATTCGATTGATTGATCTGAGTAAAGCCCGCAGACCACCCCCACCCAACTCATTTTTCTTCTTTTCTTTTTTTCTACATTGTATTGAGCCCTTTTTAAATTAAATGTTACGAACGTTGGAATTGTAATATATTCGTTCTCATATTACCTGTATATACATACACACACACACACACACACACACACACACACACATATATATATATATATATATATATATATATACACTTGTATGCAATTATTAAACATAACTTGAAGACACACACTGTCGAAATATTGCTAAACATTGTTAAACACTGTCTTTCTTTCTTCAGTAAGTGCTATAATAATAATAATAATAATAATAATAATAAATAAATAAATAAATAGATAAATTGATCACGTCCGTCCTGACGAACCATACTTACTCTTTTCTCGAAGCAAACATCATTCTTCCACGGGAACAGAAGGGATGCAGGAGGAGACGTTCATATGAACATTGAAGCCAACAATCAGAGGCGACAGGCTGTTTCATGTTAGACGTAATCGTCAGGCCACGGTTGCATCTAGCAGTCTGAGTGTTGACTTCAGTGTTCATTTTTATATTTACATACGCCTTATCGCTGATATTGAGCCCTTATCCCATAAATATAGTATACCTTAAAACTATATTTTATATATATATATATTATATATATATATATATATATATATATATATATATATATATATATATATATATATATATATATATATATATATATATATATATATATATATATATATATATATATATATATATATATACATGTCACATTGGACCTGTCCGTCCACTCTTCTGGGTGTATCTGCAATTTACTGCTTATAGTTTTCGATTCTTTTATAAACACACATTCACACATGCTAGTGTGTATATGTTTGCGTGTATGTGTATCTAGTGTGTGTGTGTGTGTGTGTGTGTGTGTGTGTGTATGTATGTGTGTGTTTAATTTGTAACAATCAATGGTCTTCACACGCGGTCTCGTCTTTCTCATATTTTGTTCTACAATTTTTTTTTTATTTAGATATATTTTTCTTGTCTGCCTAACATTTAACTTCAATGGAACTTGGTGGAATTTTTGCCAAACAACATCACATTCGTGCGTTAACAGCTCCCATCTATTGGCCATTACCTCCTACCACAACTCTTCAGGAGACACAAGATAGGCAGTGGAATTCTAGGCAAAAAATGTCTTTGTGAAACGCACACGACGCAACACTTTACACGCAGTTTGTGTGTCGAAGGTGGAAGCTTACTTGAAGATAAATGAGATTATATGGCAACCAAAAAATCCGAGGGTCCAGAATACAGATAGGAAAAGAGAGAGAATGTGTCTGTGGGAGGGGATTCGGAAATGAAGCAGAGAATGAATGTGTTGAAATGGGGCTGCAGTGATATTAGAACAGAAAATTCGGGGAGAAATGAAAGGAAATAGTGAGAGACGTCTCGAGAAAATGGCGTTGGATGAAAAAAAAAAACTGTTTTATATTTTTTTTATTTCAGCTTTAGATTCATTTCTTGTTTACAAATTATTTCTTTTCTTCTTTTTCATTTTGTACATATCTATCTATCTATCTATCTCATTCCATTTCATATCTATCTATCTATCTATCTATCTATCTATCTATCTATGTCCGTTCATATCTATCTATCTATCTATCTATCTATCTATCTATCTATCTATCTATCTATCTTTGTCTGTCCTTATCTATTTATATAGAGTACGCAGTGAAATAACTAAAAAAAAAACATCATATATATATATATATATATATATATATATATATATATATATATATATAGATAGATAGATAGATAGATAGATAGATAGAATATAAACTAATGAGTCAAACAAACCTGCCTAGGTTTCACCTAAACGGATCGTCAGCGAAATTCGGGCCGAATTTCTCTGACGATCCATTTAGGTGAAACCTAGGTAGGTTTGTCTGGCTCACTAGGTTTATCTAGGTCTGCTCGACGGTTGTATTGAGCTCTTTTGTTAGTTAATTGTTTACTTTTGTCGGGTTTTTTTCTTTGGGCTTCAAACCTGTATCTGCGCGATTTTTTCGACTGACTTTCATGTTTGTAGCTCTTCCTTTTTTTAAAACCTTTTTTTCCCTCGAGATTGATTTGATTATTGGCAAATCAGAAATTCGAGGGTTTTTCGAAACGAGTATATAAATTTCAATATCTCTGCGATTAAATATATTTATTTATAATATTAAGAATAACTTTAAAATAACATATCTCCAAATACCAATACGTAAGTACATTAAATAAGAACATATATTAAAACCTATATAAATATATCGTTGAAATTTAACATCTATCTGTTTTTAATGCCAATTTTACTGCAATAACATTGATAATAAAAGACAACTCTGCTTATATGTGGGTTGCTCTAAAAAGATTCTCTTCTATTTTATTACATTATCCCACAGGCAGATGCTTAGATTCTGGCAGTAGAGTATGAACCTTCCCTCTACCAACCCATATTTTTCATTGTTACATATAATAGAGGCATAGGTATATATCCATCAACGTTTCTTTTTTTTGTGAAAATCTATGTCGATCAATCAGTAGAGGGGAAAATAGTTAAGCCCTGGTAATTCGTTTTGGAAATAGGTATATCGATTTGTGCGACAAGCCAGGTTCTGGGCGGTCATGCACAGCAGCCAACCCTTGAACTGTTGATCGCAGACAAAAATATTATAATAATTAAAACATTATTATTCACAATCAGCACTACTGTGTATGTAAGCCTCATTAATTTTGAACTCTCTCCGTGTATATATATATATATATATATATATATATATATATATATATATATATATATATATATAGTATATAGCACTAAAACCAACACTCAGGGCGACAGGTTGTTTCATGCTGGCCTGACGATTGCGTCCAACATGAAACAGCCTGTCGCCTCTGGAGTGTTGACTTCAGTGTTCACCTTTATATTCATATTTACATACTCTCTATATCTGATATTGAGCATTTTATCCCTAAATATAGCACACCTATAACTATATTTCTTCATATATATCTATCTATCTATCTATCTATCTATATATATATATATATATATATATATATATATATATCCGAAACTCAGCTGAATTGGCGTCAGTCGGATATATATATATATATATATATATATATATATATATATATATATATATTCATCAATCATTCATACAAAAAACAAATATAGAGGTTAATGATTTAAATGGAGAGAATACATCGTCGCAAACAATATAAATAAGATACATCAACCCTGAACCTGTATATGAATGATATGATCCCTGTTTATAAATTCCAGTTGCATAAGGTATTTTTAATTTTTTACAAGCTTTCGTCTGTTCCTACAGACATCATCAGGTATGGAAGTAGATTTTATTCTTGTTTTTACTTCTCAGTAATAAGAGGACAACGATAATAGAGATGCAATCCGAAAAAATGCTATGAGAAATGTGCTATTGTTTTAGAACGTACAAAAACGCACACCCTTAAAATTTAAATTCAAACTCGGCGTTGCGACGCACGTGTGTGTGTGTGTGTGTACGAGGTGCGATGGGATAAATTGTCATGAAAATAACACTGATCTCTCATTTTAACAGACATATTTACCAAAATTACACAAAAATATTTTTAAATACTAAAGAGTAAATGTATTCAATAAAATCTCCATTGGCTTCAACCACGGCCTCCAGATGACTTCGGGTCCCCTGCACATCTTCAGGGCGGTCTTCTTTTTTAAGTTGGTGAATTCTGTCATAATTCTTGCCTTCAGTTCATCTTTGGTGTTACCAGGAGTTTTGTTCGTCTCCCCCTCAACTACGTCCCAAACATCGGGGTGGGGGGCTTGCAGTCTGGGGAAGTAGGTGGCCAAATGTCCTCAGATTGACACTTCCGGTACGAATGCCAGGTAATACAGCATGACGTTTCCAAATTTCTGTAGGAGTGAATTGCATCATGGTGCTCTTTTTCTCACAGACGGTGCCCAACTGACCCTACAATACTGCGCAGTGGACAAAATAAAAAACAAAGAACATGCGCGCAATTCAAAATATAAAATGGTGAGAATTTACCCATCACACACACAATCTCTCTCTCACTCTCTCTCTCTCTCTCTCTCTCTCTCTGTCTCTATATATATATATATATATATATATATATATATATATATATATATATCTGTGTGTATGCGCGCTCGCATTCAGCATACTGCTTCGGTTTCAAATCAATTTATCTGTCTATCTATATACAACTGAGAGAAAGAACAAATGGGCCTAAAAATCTACAGTTCGTAGCATCTATTTTTTTTAAAGAAGTGCTCAACACAAAGTAGAGAAATATATTATTATGATATTTTATTATAATACATTACAATAAACACATTTTGTATCAATGTACAAAAACTTTCATGTTTCGGTAGTAAGATGGTACCTCTTCAGGTGATTGATTCTGACCTTATGTCTCACCCTTTAACCTTCAAAAAGATTTGTTTTTTTTAATATTTCTAAAATAACTCATTTTTATCATGATCTACCATCGCCTGAAGAAGTAACATCTTAGTACCGAAACATGAAACTTTTTGTGTAGCGATGTAAAATGTTTTTATTATAATATATATATATATATATATATATATATATATATATATATATATATATGTATGTGTGTGTGTGTGTGTGTGTGTGTGTGTGTGTTTGTGTGTGTGTGTAAGCAAATATATGGATATAGATCCGACAGTATGAAGAAAAATATACGGAAAAAATAACAAAAAATCCTAATATGCAATTATGGATTAATTTTAATGTTTGGATTAGTCTTACTCTTATGTCCATCGTCTTTTTCATGTTGAATTGAATATAGTCTAATGTTAATTATGTTGTATGAATATGTCCTGAAGATGGTCTATTAGACCGAAACGTTCGACGTTGACATTTATTAACTTTAAAACAGCATAGTTGCATATTACGATTTTTGTTTGTTTTTCCGGATATTTTTTTCTTCATATATATATATATATATATATATATATATATATATATATATATATATATATGTTCACATCAGATCTCAGTTTGCGCCCGTGTATGCATATGTGTGGTGGGTGTATCTAGCTTTCTGCTTCAGTTTCAAATCTATCTCTCTATCTATCTCTCGCTTTCACTCTCTCTCTATCTCTATCTCTCTCACCCTCTCTCCTTCTCTCTCTCTCTCTTCCCTTCTCTCTCTCTAAAGTAATATATTCTCTTCAGATATGGGTGGAAGCGTGTATGTATATGTGCGTACGCATATGTGCTTAGTGGGTAGGTGCGTATCCAATGGATGGATCAAAGTTTCCTCCGGTTCCATTTGGATATCCACTTTTGGAATTTTTTCTTGTTTTCGCCACCGTTTCTTGGCAACGGAGACGAACTTTCCGAATCAATTGACGCTCCTTTCGATTTTACAACATTTCTCCAACACCCCCCTTCCCCCAGCCGCCCGCCAATTGATTCAGCCGAAATTCTGGTAATTGATTTTTTTTTTTTATTCGGTGTTCAGTATTGCCTTCTTTTCAATGCTCGGCAGATTAAAATTGTCCTTGAGCCGAGGATATTGTTTCCCGGTCGTAGAAATGCAGTTGCACATGAGCTGGTCCGCTTGCTCGGCTTCCGTTTTGCCCTGTTTCCCTTTCAAAGCTGCTGACGTACGAAGGGACCCTCTCAGGTGAAGGACGCGCTAATTAGTCACTGATTGTATCAGCAGTTAATCAATTAACGTTGCTATGGTAATGTTGAACGTATATTTGAGGTGTAGATGACGAGAAACGGAGAGACAAAAGTGTCGACGACATCAGCGATAAAACAAGAATAGATGCCTATATTGAAATGGCCGCTATCTTATCATTATACGTCATACTTTATTCGACCTGTATGGAGATTTAGAGGGGGAGGGTAAGCGACATCAGCACGGAAAGTAGAATCGGCAAGCCGATTTCAAATTTCGGGGTAATCTGTTTTGTTTATGTTTGTACAATTGGATTAAAGAAAGGCATGGATCAGTCCCCCAGCTATGGATTAAATAACAGAATAGACTGGGTTCTCTAGCCTTTGGTGTTAACCAGTGTAAGAGAATGAATTTCAAACTGTAGAGAAGGCAAATGAATACTACTCCACTATCTTTCCTATTGCAAATAATAGATCATAAAGAAAAAGATTTCTACGTCCTGAAAGGCAGGAATTAAACAATTTAAAAAGATATCATGATATCGACTGGGTTCTAATTCCACGCTTGTCTGCTATGTTCCTTTTCCTACTAATGCCCTAAAGAAAGGCATGAACCCATCTTTCATCTCCCACTATCTATGGATTAAGTTATACCTCACCAAAGCAATCCACGAAGATGAATTGTCCACTACGATGCAGACGACAGTTTATGGGAAATTTATGCTTTGTTTAATTTGATTTATACAAGTATTGTAAACTCAATCATTATTCTATGGAGAATAGAATATTTTTAGTTTCATAATCACAAAATAAGGATTTTTAATATTAATTTTTTTTTTTTTGTTATTTCATAAGTCGTCGTCGTCGACTTTATCTCATCCCCAAGAATTTAATTTCTTCTTTGCTGACCGCTTCCTTTATGATGATGGCGCTAATGACTAAATTCGCCACCAACGTGCAAGTTCAGGACTAGAAGCTTCCAGTTTCACCAAAATCTGTCCCCGTCACCCATTCCTTTGCATCGTTTGGCTTTGCCATATTTGGTTAGACGTGAAACACAAGTGGAAGAAAGTGCTGATGGTGTGAATTTGTTTAAGATGGACCTCAACTTGCCAGGAAGTGAACCACACACTTGATTTAATGATCTTCCTCTGCAGCACATATGAAATGAGACATGCAGAATCGAGTTATGAAACTGCAACGGACTATCACTGACTCTTATAATTTCGATTGGCGCCTTCTGTAGCATGTCTGTAATGCGTAGTCCTCTTCATCCGCAGGTTCAACCATCGGGGTCTATGGGAGTTAAAACAAAAAAGATTTAAAAAAAAATAACATCACTTTAAAATGGTAATATCGAAGCATGATTAATGAAAAAAGCATCTACATCGGTTTATCTTTTAATAATATATACACGCGTATTAATAGCTAGGTAATATTTTATTTAATATTTATAAATCGGTTTAGTTATTTTGTGTTTATTGTTAGTTGTGTTTAGATATTACTATTACAGGCTAATCCTTCTGTAATTTATTTAGAAATTCTTGATAAAAACTTTTTTACCGTTTAGCTTTGCCATATTTGGTTAGAGGTGAAACAAGTGGAAGAAAGTGCCAATGGCCTAAATTTGTGAACCTCTGTTTGCCAGGAAGTAACCCATACACTTGATTTCATGCAGAAATCATTTAAGAAACGGCAACGGAGAGCTGCTGGCTCAAATATAATTTAGAGTGGCGCCTTCTGTAGTATGTCCGTAATGCGTAGACCTCTTCACCCGCTGGTTCAACCATCGGGGTCTATGGGATTGGTCCCGCTTAGTCTGAGTTAAAACAAAAAAGATTTTTAAAAAAAATAAGATCACTTTAAAATGGTAATATCGAAGCATGATTGATAAAAAAGTATCTAAACCGGTTTATCTTTTAATAATATATACCAGAGAATTAATAGATAGATAATATTTTATTTAATATTTATAAATCGGTTTAGCTACATTACTTTGTTTTTTGTTTTTTTTTTCTAATCGTGTTTTTATATTACTATTATAGGCTAATATTTCTGCAATGTATTTAGAAATTTTTGATAAAATCTTTTAGTTTATTGGTCCTGACCTGTCCTCCCTGATTTTCCTGCCGCTGTAACATAACCCCCTCCCCCGTGACGTTTCTATAAGTATTTTCATGCTAATTGTCCCGATGTGCTTTCTTTTTTTTCTACATCGAATTTACGAATTTAAGCACCGTACTAGATTGGCAACTAGGTCTCATCATTTTACAGTTGAAATAGATATGGCCGTAAGTTCTATGCTAACAGTTTCTTCTCTCATACTTGTGAAACTCTCATCCGGTTCTTTTGCTTTACAAACAAGTTTGATCTTCGAAAATTTAAATGAAACGTTAATCCTCATATATTTTGTCTTCTTTTACTTTTCTCTCTCTTTGATAATATTTTGCTTTTTCTCTTATTCTTTGACACTCACTAACCCCTTGCGTTTTAGTGGCTTTATCACCTTTCTTGAGGTGAAATGATAAAAAATCATTTTTTACTTTGTTTTTGTTAATATTTCTTGTTTAAATATTATCGCTTTTCATTAAATTTTGTACCCTTACAAAAATATTACAAAGTAATAGTCAAAATTACAAAAATAATAAGACGTCAGTTTTAAACCGTACGATTGCACAGGTATGTCGAAAGATTGGCTTTTGATTTTATTTGTCCTGTCACTTCAGAATATGGGCAGTCATGGCTCACCACAACTTCCTATTATTTCTAACGCTAAACAATGTTTATCCTTCCCAGTCCTTCTTTTGCTATTCATACTAAGTTACTCGCTGTTTCCCCTGTCGGTCCTTCTTGGCTTCAGTATGTCATATGAGTGTTATATTCTCCAAGCCTTCTTTTTTCATTATGCATCCCATAAATTTCAACTGACTTTTTCTGATTCTAAGTTACAAATATTCTGGGTGTTGAAAAGTTTTCACTTTTACACTTCCCGAAAAATGACTATATAATCAGACATTAATTTTTAATAGCCACTTTGTTGGACCTAGAATATTTCAGCACTCCCTCAGAAGTTCGCTCTCAGTTGATGCCAACTGTTATCCTATGAGTCAGTCGGCCAATCGATTACACTCTGTCTACTTGTGTTCACCTTAAGTGTGGTCTTCTAACGGCCGTGTCGGAACGGCTTTGAAATCTTTACGATGGTTGAAAAAAAAAATTGGTGAAAATACTTTGCAGTAAACTTGGCAAATCTGCAACCGAGAATCTCAAAATACTTCGTCAGGCTTCTGACGAATATTCTTTAAGTCGAACCCAAATTTTGAGTAGCACACGATTTTCAAAGTTTTCGGTTCAGAATGATTAACTTTCAGTGCGACCCAGCATCAGTAAAAGGACAGAAACTATGGGAAAAAATCTCGGATCCTTTCATGAGGAAGGATTCCGGACAATCGATCAACTCTCTTACGTGACTGGAATCAATTCTGGGATCTTCTGGGTGGTCCTAGTTCGAGAACTTTCACAGATCAACTTGAATTATTTAATCAACATATATTTCTACTTCCATATTTATTTGTGCCACACACGCACACACACACACAGATGGACACACACACACGCGCACACACACGTGCACACACACACATACACACACATATATATATATATATATATTGTGTATATTTAGGCAGCAATTTTTCATTAATGAATGTTTCATTAAATAGATTAATTATATAGACAAGTTTTGTATACTTATTTTAAGTAAGTCCCTTTCATATTGTCTGATGAGCTTAATAACATTATCATTGAAAGTCGTAAGGAAATCAGCATATTGATACATGTTTAAATCCAATCTAAGCTTTCGGCTTACATAGGCCATTATCAAAGATGACAATTACATTTCAATATATCAACCAATACGCGGACGAAACAATAATGATAGTCTGTTTTTGTTGCATGAAAAATTTCAAAGTAACGATTAACTCGTGTATACGAGACGCGGAAGCGAAAACGCGTCGCCGCTCGTGACGTCACACATAACCACACTAGAGGGAAAACGAGAAGTATTAAGTATGGGAAGCCGTTGGTATAAACCAATGGCTTCTGTTATCATTCATAGGCATTTAAGAATATTTGTGGAGATTTCGTAGTTTATTTTGTTCAGGTTAGGTTTCAACTGTTTTATGTATATAGCTTCAATAATTTTTAGTTTTTGTTTATTGTTTTCATGTTTAAGTATAGTTTTGTTTTCAACAAGGATTTTCCGGATTTTGTGTATACAGCCAGGCATGTTGTTTTAAAAAATGTTAGATTTTTCATTGTTCCGTGTATTGGTTTCTCAGTTCGATGAAGAAGCCCCAAAAATAAATGAAATAAAATAAAATAACTTTTTATTTTGAAATGATAAATTCCCTTATACATGTCTTTACATCAAAATATTTATTAAATTCAAAATTATCATAATTATTAGGCGTTTATTTAGTATATTATATGTGATTGTGACTATGAACAATGCTACAAATTGGTGACCCGTAAAAAGAACTTTAAATGCAATCTTTCTGCTAAAAAGTATCAACAGACTTAAAATAGGTCGCCTATACTCAAATGCAACTCTTTAGAAATCATATAACAACTGCATTTCAATATAGAACTGTTGAATTCTTTTGGTAAAAAAAAAAACTTTTTAAAAATAGTTTTAAAATAAAATGAATATTTATCAGGCGAACACCAAAGTCTCATGTTACAATTGAAGCTTCAACTAGAAAAAAATTCTTCCTTATTGCAACTTTACTTGCTAAGATTGTTACTAAAAAATTCCTACGCAAATGCTCAAAAACATGACGACTTAAAACGATCTGTTTTCTTATCTGATGAGAAGGCACAACGTGAAATTGGGGCAAGGTTATAAAGACAACTACAATCACAGGACGTCAAACAATTTATTTACGAGAAATAGTAACAAGAAAAGATCGTGTTGGTATCAATAAACAAATAGTACGACGTAACT